CAGAGAAAAGAGGAAGGGCACCTCTTCTCTATAATATAATGACCATTTAACATTCTAAGTTATTCTTTGGGTTGTCTAATAGAAATATTTCTTTTTCATTAATCTTCACCAGAGGATATTTGTCCATTGATTTTTTAGAGAGATGGAAAGAGAGAGGGAAAGATAGAGAGAAACATCAATGTGAGATAAAAACATTGATTGATTGCCTCCTGCAGGAGCCCTGGCCAGGGCCCAGGTGGGGAGGAGCCTGCAACCAAGATACATGCCCTTGACTGGAATCAAACCCGAGACCCTTCTGTCCTCAGGCCAATGCTTTACCCACTGAGCCAAACTGACTAGGGTTAGAAATATTTCTAATGTCATAAATATTGAAACTGGCAATTTTGTCCTTCCCATAACTTGTGCCTTGGGACAAAAGAGAATGTAGCTTTGAAACAAAAAAAAAAAATACTGGAATATCTGCAGGTTTTCTATGTACACAGGTGCATGGGTACCCACACACCCACCCATCCATCTCCATCACACAATATTAACAGCAAAAGGGATAATGATAAAAGGGAAAATATGTTTTCTGTTAATGGACCAATCACAAAAGAATTACTTAGCCAAAGTGTAAGTCTGAAGGAATATTTACCTATAAATGTTGTGTTTGTGAAATAATAAAATTCCTCCAACTATTCCAATCACTTTGAAACTCTCCTCAAATCTATTCTGCATGCTTCTCTTCTCTTCCTAAAATATAGACCAGTCTATGACCTTGTTCTGCAACAAAACCCGTAGCTCCTTTTTTTTTTTAACTGTTAGCTTCTGACAGCATAAGAAAGGAAGTTCCAATCTACCCTCTTAGCAATCAAAGTTCTTCACAACTTGATTCAACCAACAGCTGTATCCCTTACCACACCTCCAAGGCATCTCTTGCTCCAGAGAAACTCATCATTTGCAAATGATTCCCTCCTTTTGCCATCTCTAGTTTAACTCTGCCTGGAGTGTGTATTTCTCTTAGGTACACCTATTATTTTATTTTAACTAACTTACACTGAGAACCCATTAGGTGCTAGTCAGGTATTAGAGTAGACTCTTACCTATACTTGGAGGCTTACCACACATTGTATTCCCATACCTCCTGAATTATAACCAATCTTTCTGTGCTGCAATACTTACATCACTCCTAGCTACAACAGAGCACTATAGCAGACACCACTGTTTATCTGCACAGCTACAATGTGCCTCCCCTTCTTCCTTAAAACAGAAATCATTTATTTAGGTAAACAATCTGCATGTGCTGCGATACAGACGAGCCCTTAAAAAGTCTTGGGGATGAGTAATGAATTCCCTAAGCCAATCTAGGCCACTTTCCCCTCACCAGTGGTTGAGGTAAGCATACCACAGAAAGTAGCCGTCTCATCATCCACAGCACCAGGCAAACCTTCTTATCTGGTCTTAGCAGGGCTCCACAGTGCACCTTAAAAAGGTACCAATGTATTTTGTTTAATCTATCTTTTTCTTGCCATTATGAACAGGACCAAAATTCTGAATTAAAGTCCAACACCCAGCTGCTTATTCTCAGTTCTGCAGATTCAGGCCGGGAATTAATATGTAAGTAAAGGGCTTCATGGGACACCTTTGGATCTCTCACGGCTAAAATTTAAGATCACTCATGCCAAACAGTGCCTAGTGGTACCTTTTCTTTCTTTCATGTTCTTTTAAGGGGCTCATGAAAATACATATATTTTTTTTGGAAAATAGATTCTTATGATGCACTTATGCATCTCCAAGGTCATTATCAGCTAAGTAAACAATAATGTCTTCCTTTATTTCAATTGTATGGTCATGAAACTAAGGAATACTTTATGTTGTTGTGAAAAACCAATTGTTTCCTTATAATTTTATCACCCACAGCTTATACTGGCAATGTAAAATTGATGTAAGAAACCTATACTATCCGTGAAAGCTATATCTACTAGAGCAAAACACAGACAGTGAATATTTGAATTTTTGAGGTCTGCTTGGCAGGGTAAATTCATCTTCACACAATTCTCCACAATAAATTAATAACAATTATTTATAGACTGCTACCAGCAAGATACACAGTTATGATATGAACTAGAAAATGGTCAACAAAGCTATCTAACTATAATCAGTTACAGTAATAACTGTACTCCGTATTTACCATATCCTGGGACTGGTGGCATTTTGTTTTATTTGACTGTTTACTTGTCTGTCTGCCTCCTTATCCAGACTAAGCTACACAAGGGTATGAGACATTTCCCACTCACTACTGTCATCCTATTACCTACCACAGTGCTCATGCTCAAGAAGTGCTTGTTGAATGTAAGAGTAAATAAATGAGCAAATACTAATGCCACATTAATTCTATTATAAACTGCAGGAAAAGATGAAAATGTTCAAAACATTTTCTTAATTTTAAAGAAAACTAATAATTTTCTATCACCTATAGATTACATGAAATAATAAAAACAATGTCTTGACTGTGAAGTTGAAAAATACAAAACTAAAACCCACGATAATTATCATATGCATGCTAATGAGAAGTGGGGTTAACTGTAGTTAACCAGCTTGGGCGGTAGAATAAAAACACCCACCAGTGTTCTCTTTGCAATAGCATGACATTACTATTTTATTGCCATCATTATTGCCCAGGCAATTAACTTTACTCCTCTTTACATGAACTTCCCAAAAGAACCGCTAACTTCTTCAACTGAAAGTATTAACATTGATGAAACTCTTCCCTGAAATACCCTGCCTGTTTCCACCAATTGTAAACTATTTAATCCTGATCCTTTACCCATCTTAATCAAGTCTCCACATTGAAAGACCCATTTTTGCCTTTGCTTTTCCTCCCCAGAGTCTACTAAAGCTGTTAACATGGTCTTCTCTGTCACCAAGATAAGCAATAAATTCAGTTCTGTCTTATCAGTATAGTGTGGTGGTATATGGGGAGTTAGTATTCCACAGTAGTTAAAATATTCTCAGGTAACTTCATATTTTGGGAAGGGAATAAACAGTGATTGGTTTTAGATATTAAGTTAATATGCATTTCTAGGTAGCCATTAGAAACAGACTATGAAGGTAAGCAAATGATCTAACCTATCTGCATTGACATGAACTAACTTTAAAAATATATTTTTTAGTTTTGCTTGTTTTGAAGTACATAGCAAGTCACCAAAGTAAACACTCAGTATTATCCCATTAATATATATATTTCAAAACAGGCAAAAAATAATTCACTTTTTATAGGACAGTACATTTGGAAATATATGCATAAAATTATAGAGAAAATCAAGCCATGAAGTGAAAAAAAGCTTAAGACAATGATTAGATATGCCGGGATAAGAGGGGTAATCAGGGAAAAACTAAAGGAAGGGACTTCAGAACTATTATTGAAAAAGTCACTTTTTTTTAAGTTGAGTCTCTTACTGGCTGAGTTGAGTCACAACCTAGGTTAGACATGCTGAATGATAGTTCAATTATTATTATTTAATGATTAACATACATTATATACATACACACATAACTATGTTCATACACACACATATATAACAATTCCTCTCCCATAACACAAATCCCTCAGCATGCAGGTATCATGTAGCTCTCTTGGCACTGACCTGTGGGAATTGGAATTAGGGGAAGAGAAAGCGCTAATACTCTGGCTACTGCTACTTTTGTAACATAGTCCTTTGTCTCTGACCCAAGAGGCTCCTATCTTCTATCAGCATTCTTGAACTTGTGGTAGGCTAACTGGCTACTTTGAAATGGTACAATATCTTAAACTTTTCACAACTTTTGAAAATATTAAGAAATCCTATCTATGAAAAGAAGACAACTGGTACAGTTTACAGCATGGTGAAAAACTAAGATGGGTGGTAGGAAAATGAGTTTTAGCGTTGGTGTAGGTATAAAATATGAATGATATATAGGGCAGACACTTCTCTTAATCTCTATAGATAGCTAGGACAGCTTCTGTTCTCAAAGTCTAAGGTTATAGATGTAAGAAAAAAAAAAACATGACATGCAGTGTTGCAGAATGCAGAAATGTGAAAAAAATCTAACCATATAAATGTTAAAGATACAAATTGTGATGACAGCAAGTACAAAGTTTATTTCATCTGCATTGAAATCTTTAGCTGTAATATACCACAAAATGAAAATTCTCTTTTAACTTGTATATCAAAGAAAAAATAATGAACCCTGCAAGGAAGCTCAAGTAAAATATTTTTATGATATACAAACGCCACTGAAGTGAAAAATCTTCAATAAGACCACCCAACCTTGACAAGTGTATTCACATAGGATTTAAAGAGTAATATTTGTATGACATACAGTAGGTGGTCTTTTGCGTGGATGAAATATTGCAGCTGACTTTGGTTCATGAATGCTTCTAGGAGAATTATGGTAAGTTTCTACCAGCCAAACCATAAAGTTAGCCTAAATTTCTAATTCTGCTTTCAGATTCATAATTTTTGTGATGAAATATTAAAACTTCTTGGTCCTATGTGTAGGAATGTATCCATATGTGTACTGTACTTAAGAATACTAGGTATGATGGGTAATATGTACCCACAGATACTGCATTTTTTTAAAATAATGTATTCTTTATTTTATTGATTGACTATCAGGAAGCTCCACTGTAAAATGTTCAGCACTAATGGTAACAACTTTTCTGGCACAACTGTAGTCCTTCACTTGGCTTTTTATTCTCAATTCCTTATTTTACAGTTTTACTCTATATGTATTTTTTACCAGACTTTTTCTCAAATTATGTTCAGAAGTAGAAAAAAAACTAATGGCTGTGTATTTGTATGTATGTGTCTTCTAATTTTAAATGAAACATAGCTTAAATAAGGCTGTAAATTTCTTGAATCAGCAGGAAAACATAACAGAACAAAAGATGCCACTGAAAATCACACCATCAAATGAAGCAACTTGAAAGACCATAACAGTTATTACAATCTGTTGGAATTTCAAGTATGATAACTTACTTGCATATGTCATCTTCTGGTTCTTCAAGCCCAAATCTTTCATCAAATGTAAGTTGTATCCATACATTTTCCTCCGTTGCTACTAATCTCCATACCAAGACCATATTTCTTGGATAAGTATGAGGAAACTTTGGGCTGTGAATACTTCCATTAGTGGACACAGTAATAATTCTCTCATGCTGGGGAGCTTGTACGCCTAAAACAAAAACATAGGTATACACTTACATTGAGAACAGACATTTTAAAAGTTACAGGTTTCAGAATAAATGTTTTTTTAATCATCCACATTTTACCCAAACAAGTGTTGGATATGCTTCATAAAATATAAATTAAGTACTACTCTCTTCAGAATTTAACCAGAAAAAAAAGAGATTATTTTAACATTATTGAGTAAAAACCTGTGAATAGGTGTACTTCAAAGAACAAAGCAAATTAGTCATTTTAATCAAATTACCAAAATTTCAAACAACCAATACTTTTGGATTCCTAAAATTGCAATAAAATTAAGACCCTAATCTCCAAGAACTTATCAAATACAAATCATATTAGAACAAAAAGAAGTGCGATATATAACTAGTTTTAAAAACACAAATTATGATTGAACTCCCCCTAATCATGATTAGGTTAGATAGCTTAGAGTTCATCAAAACGTAGATTATCTGCCTGAGCCTAACCTAATAGGGTGAGCCCTTAAAAGAAGCTGGGCCCTTCCTAAATTCAGAGAAATTCAAAGTGTAAGAGAGATTCAACAGCAGGTTGATGCTTTATTGCTGGCATTGAACACAGGGGAGGTGACATGCCCAGGGTTGTGGGAAGCCTCCAAAAGCCGAAGACAGGCTAAGGCTGACAACTAGCAAGGAAATGGGACCTCAGTCCTCAAACCTCAGGAACATGAAGAAACTTGGAAGTAGACTCTTCTCCACAACCCCCAGAAAGAATCAAGTCTGGCTGACACCTTGATTTTAGCCTCTGAGCAAGAACCTAGTCACAGGATGCCCAGAATTCTGACCCATAGAGCTAAGATGAAATAAAGTGAGTTTTAAATGGCCAAATTTATGATAATTTCTTACATATTATTATAAATGAATACATCTTCTATTGGGCACAAAGCTGTTCGGATGGCAAGTTATTCCTTTTTGCCTCCATTCTTCAACAGCAATCAGAGTACTAGCGTGTACAATAACTGCAACAACTTTTCATTTAATATTATGTTAGTCAAAATACATGATTGAACTCTGGTAAAATGCAATTTAAGAATACTGCTCTAAGAAACTCCTTGAATTTAAAAGGCAATGTCAAGAGTCATGTATTAGAAGGGTCATGTTATTAAGGTTAAAGAATAACCTTTTTGATTGTTAAAACACCCAAAATAATTTTAATAAGTTTGTGTATGATTCTTGAAGCAGTATTTTCATCCTCATAAACAGCTGTTTTAGTAATCAGTTTGGTAGTTTGGTAAGTATTTTTTTATATTTTCTAACCTAGAAATAGGGAGACAAGGTAAAGACGTATATAATGTCCTTTGACAATACCTAGTACACATTATGGGGAAGATCATCTTATTAGTAAAATATGCTTTAAGTACCTAAATTTGTGCCTAACCTTGTCCTCAGCAGTAAGTAACCTACATAGAAATACATTCTCTTCTAAATTGGATGCTAATTGTTGATACTGCTATTGGTTATATTAACATATATGAAATGATCAATAACTCCTCTATGCACATAATTTAGCACCTGTATATCTCCTAGGAAGACATAAGATCTATCAAGTTAGATGATATCTTCCCTATAGAAAATAATGCTAATTTACTATTAAAATTAAATTAATAAATTGTTTTCAAAGCTTTCTTTCAAAAATGGGCCCTGGCCGGGTAGCTAGGTCACTTAGAGTGTTGTCCTGAAATGGCAAGGTTGAGAGTTTGAACCCTGGTTAGGGCACATACAAGAATCAACCAATAAATGCATGAATAAGTCAAATAACAAATCTCTCTCTCTCTCTCTCTCTCTCTCTCTCTCTCTCTCTCTCTCTCTCTTTCTCTTCCTATCTCTCTAAAATTAATAAATGTTAAAAATTTAAATGGAAATGGGATATTTTCCCATTCCTTAAATTTTATTCCAATAATCTACACATAGCAGTAGCTTATATCAAGGATTCTTCTTTTTTAAGCTATATTTCTAATTAAGTTAATTTTTTCAATCAGATTAATTAATATTTACCCCATTTCGTCTCAAAGCAAATGCCTTATATCTCAAGGCACTCTTTACAAATACAGCAACATTTACACTATCATATATAATCTAGAAAACTAAGTGGTTATTAAAAGATTTGAATCTATTTTTATATCTCCAGTCAAAACAGCTCATAGATAAAAAGTGCATACTTAAATTGTTAACATTTTTTTCTTTTCTTTATAATTCACAATTCTGCTAAACTATAACTAAACATAATTCAGAGACTAAAAAGCTAAGCCTTATTTGTGCTAAGCATTGTAAATTTCCTAAGTTAAATTGCTGCTCCCAAAAATTCATCTCAAAATGCAGTGAGGTTTGCCACCAAACACATATGATTTATATAAATCTCAACTACGACCTCTATAATCAAAATGAAAAAAGCAACAAACAGTAAGTTCTACCAAATTAAGACTCTGCATTTATACCCCTGCTATTTAAAAATATCATTTTTCCAAAGATATAACTTACTGGTATTTTAGGAATAAGATAAGTGTATATTTTGTAACTATTTTGTCGAATAGCTTCTTTCCTAGTCAATAACGGTCCAAACGAAAAGGTACCAATGAAATAAAACAATTGCTTGTAGTCCAATCACTACACTATTTCCCAGACACTCCATTCAATGTATTCTAAACAAGAATAAATTAATCATTACAGATGAATTCAGCATGGAAAATGAAAATATTCACAAACACTAAGTTTTTTAAATTATAAGTATACATCATTTCATATTATCCTGTACAACCCCTTAAGGTATAAGTATTAAAAACTAAAATGAAACAAAAATAGAAAAGAAAAGAATAAAGGAAAGTTAATAATGCAAATACGATAAAACTATTGATTATGTATATACACATACAATTCAACTACATAGAATCATTGTATATTCATATGTATTCAATAAGCTTATTAGCATTACAATGAAAATAATTTCCTAATATCTGCCATGCTGTTAGTCCCTTTGAAGCTAAAAGCGAGTAGGAGTAAAAGGATCATAAGCAACGAAAATTATAATAATTGAAAATGCTTAATAAAGATAACACTAAAAAAGGTGTTTCTGGATAATATATAATTCATAAAAAAAGATAAATCATCCATTTCCTTCTCTATTCTAATGTTATAAATTGATTGTTGAAAGAAAGACTTGTAATACTAAGAACTAGGTAAAAAGAAAGGAGTCTCCACCCTTGGTTTAGTTTTAGAGTTCTGAAGAATTCTGGTTCCCGTTTCACATAGGCAAGACTATAGTGACATGTCACATGTAAACTAGTAAACTTCACTGATGTCCTGTGAAATTTTTGAGGTGTTTACTTGCAAATACATGGTAATTTTAAATTGTGCATATAAAGGCATTTCTGAAATAGTCAGTTGCATCTATTTTCAAACCCTTACTTATTCACGAGTCTTACGTGTGCTTAGCTCTGCACACTGTTTTTCCCCCGTGATAAACCTTCTTTATCCTAATTTTATTACTGTGTTTATAAATAATAAGCTATTTCTGTTTCCACTTTCATTAGCTCTCAATTAACAAATTTTTCACTTTTAAGCAATAGTTAAAATCACATGACATATATATGTAAAAGCTAGTTTTACTGCTTCCATGATTGGCACCTGTTTCCTAGGAAAACGAGAATAATCTCGTCCTAATCCTCTTTGATTCTGTAGAGGGAAGATATACTTGAGCTCCACATAGCAAAGAGATATCTCTCCATACAAACTGAGGAATCTCAGAGGGAAACAGTCCGAAGAGATTAACCAAAGACCTTATATGCATATATGCATAATTCATGGACACAGGCAATAGTGCAAAGAAAGCCTTGGTGGGGGATAGAAGGGGTCAATGGGGAAGGGGGGAATGGGGACATATGTAATACTTTCAACAATAAAAATAAAATTTTAAAAATAAAGAAAAAGAAAAGAAAAATTCCAAACAATATAGGTATCCCATTTTCATATTTATAATTCTGACTATTAAAACAAAAGACTAATATACTAGACAGAAAACTCAGACCCCATCAGCTCAATCTATTGTTTGCCATACCTTTAAAGAAGTAGCAAAATAAAACACAAGATAATCAACAAAGTTAGTTTTCTTTATCCAAACTGTTTAAAAATTACATGAATAAATGTTCAAGAAAAAATAAAATAAGGGATTGCTATATTAAGTAAGCCATAAAACAATATATTTAAGACATGCTCAATTTAGGTTCCTGAATTTATCCCAGAATATAATCATTTTATTCCTCCAGGGAATGAATAGTCAAAAATCATATGCTGAGACTCTATCATGTGTCATGAACTGTTCCAGGTACCTCGGACATCAGGAAAAAACAAACAAAAAAATCTTGTCCTCTTAATATGACAACTTCTGGGACTTTAACTGAGTATCATTACTCCACTAAATAATGATACTAATAATTAATATTCAAAACCCACTTTGGATATTACCTAGTTTAGACTGCCATCCTGATTCTTGTGTGCATTCATTCCTTCAGGACTGCATATTTTAATCATAATATATGGGTTGATCTTTCTTCCCTACCCCACTATAAATTCCTAGATGGCAAAACTATTTTTATTAAAGTCCACAACCAGTATCTAGCACTGTGCCCAGCACACATCACTACTTCATACAAATCAATAGAAACCAACTTGCTATCCCAGAACATAGCCAAAAACAATTTTATGTGTTATTTTAAAATTTCATCTTCAATTCCTAAATTTCCAGAGATTGTTCATATAAAATTAAAGATATTTTATAATTTATACACCTCACCAATTAAAGTCCCAAAATTTGTATTTGATATTTTACTAAAAATTCATCTATTAGAATCTACATGTATTTTTCAGCTGAAGGCTATAGGTAGTAGAGTACTCACTATTGAGATTTGCCATTTTCTTTATATGCTTGCTTAGTTTTTAAAAAAATAGATGTTTATAATTTTGACATATTTGAGAAAGC